TCCAAATGAAGAACACTATTCAAATATAATTAATTCTCACCACTGCTATTCCTTTTAATATAAAGGCAAAATGACCTCTGATTTTGCTAATCAAGTGGAAGAGTAGTACTGGCATGCATCTTCTAGATGAAAAAACTAAATACAAAGTATTAAACAACTAGGGTAAAGGAAGTCTTTGTAATCCTAGAAGTGAGAAACCAGTACTAATGAATGAGCCAAGCATAATGGAGACCTGGGCGGGAGAGGGAGGGGATGTTGCCCTCTCCCAGTTGTGCCCGCCCGGGTATCTGGTTCAACACTGTTCACGCCCAGAAGGGAGGGGAGGGGGAGTCGCGTTGGTTTACAGAGCCTCCATCTCTCTCACGGGTCTTCCGGTCCCTTTGAGACCAGGGCTGGAGTGCCTCTACTTGGTGTTGGGCGAACGAGACAGATTGGGGATTCTATTGGTGTACCGTGCACCTTTCTGCCCAGCAGTCTCCCTATCTGAGCTGACAGAGACCGTCTCGGACCTGGTGTTGAGGACCCCCAGGATGTTGGTCCTGGGGGACTTCAATCTCCATGCCGAGTCTGGACTGACCGGGGCGGCTCAGGACTTCATGGCCTCTATGACGGCCATGGGCCTGTCTCAACACGTCACTGGCCCTACCCATGAACGTGGACACACTCTGGACCTGGTATTCACGACGGGGCAGGTAGAGGATGACCTGAGGGTGAAGAACTTATGTTTGACTCCCCTGTCATGGTCAGATCACCTCCTGGTGAGGTTTGTGCTCGAGAGCGGCCTCTCCCTCTATAAGAGTGCGGACCCGATTGTATGGGCCCGCCCCCGGAGCCGGATGGATCCGGATGGATTCCTGGGGGCCCTGGGGGAATTTCCGGCTGACAAGACTGGTGCTCCTGTCGAGGCTCTGGTCGAACTGTGGAACGGAGAGATGACCAGGGCTGTGGACACAATCGCTCCTAAGCGTCCTCTCCCACCGGGCAGAGTCCGCTCTTCCCCTTGGTATACACCTGAATTACGGGCGATGAAGCAAGTTGGGAGACGGCTAGAGCGTAGGTGGAGGAAATCACGGGATGAATCTGACCGAACACACTTGAGAGCCCACTATCGGGCCTATGCTGTGGCGGTGAAGGCGGCGAAAAAGAAGTTTTTTTCTGCTTCCATTGCCTCCTCACAATGCCGTCCAGCGGAGCTTTTTCGAGTGGTGCAAGGCCTGGTTCTCCTGGGTCCTAAGGAAGATCCGATGCCACCCTCAAAGGCCCGCTGTGACGACTTTGCCAGGCATTTCAGGGAGAAAATCGCTCAGATTCGTCACGAGCTGGACTCCACTAATGGATCAGAGGTCTCTGAGGAGTCGCCAATGCCACCGTCTGGTCCAAAATTACTGGAGGAATTTCAATTATTGCGGCCCAATGATGTGGACAAGGTGCTTGGAAGAGTACGTCCCACCACGTGCCTATTGGATCCTTGCCCGTCTTGGTTAATAAATAACTCCAAGCACGGGATTGGGACCTGGATTTTGGAAGTGGTTAACGCTTCTCTGAGGGAGGGTCGAGTGCCTGCCCCTTTAAAGGAGGCGGTAATACGACCGGTCCTGAAGAAAGCGTCACTGGATCCAGAGATGGCCACTAACTATAGACCTGTGGCCAACATCCCATTTCTGGGCAAGGTGCTGGAGCGAGTGGTGGCGGGACAACTCCAAGCACTCTTGGAGGAAACTGATTATCTGGATCCTTTTCAGTCCGGCTTCAGACCCGGGTACAGTACTGAATCTGCCTTGGTCGCCCTGTACGACGACCTGTGCAGGGAGAAGGACAGGGGGAGTACATCCCTGTTGGTTCTTCTGGACCTCTCGGCGGCTTTCGATACCATCGACCATGGTATCCTTCTGGATAGACTTGCGGGATTGGGGGTTGGAGGCACTGCTTTGCAGTGGTTCCGCTCCTATCTCAACGGTCGATTCCAGAAGGTAGTGCTGGGGGACCATGTCTCTACGTCATGGCAGCTATGCCATGGGGTACCACAGGGCTCCATTCTATCCCCTCTGCTATTTAACATCTATATGAAACCGCTGGGAGAGGTCATCAGGAGGTGTGGGCTGCGGAATCATCAATACGCTGATGATACCCAGCTTTACCTCTCATTCTCCACTAATCCAGGTGAGGCAGTGGCTGTGCTGAACCGGTGCTTGGCCGAGGTAAGGGAATGGATGAGGGCCAATAAACTGAAACTCAACCCAGACAAGACGGAGGTCCTGTTGGTTGGCGGATCGGGTTTCGGAGAGGGTGGATTTGACCTGGTCCTGAATGGTGCAACACTCCCTCTTAGGGATAAGGTCCGCAGCTTAGGTGTACTCCTCGACCCGGAGCTTTCTTTGGAAGCTCAGGTGACAGCGGTAGCGAGGAACGCCTTCCTTCAGCTTCGGCTGATTAATCAGCTGCGCCCCTACCTGGAATACGACTGCCTGGCGACGGTGACACACGCGCTGGTGACTTCCCGCCTAGACTTCTGTAATGCGCTTTACGTGGGGCTTCCCCTGAAGACAGTCCGAACACTTCAATTGGTGCAAAATAGAGCTGCCAGGTTGCTGACGGGGACGGGGCGTTATGCTCACATGACTCCAGTCCTCCATCAGCTTCACTGGCTTCCCATTGAAGCCCGGGCCCAATTCAAGGTGTTGATTATGACCTACAAAGCCCTAAACGGCTTGGGTCCTGGCTACCTGCACGAGCGCTTACGTCCGTATATGCCCGACCGCCCTTTGAGATCTGCGGGAGAGTCCCTTCTCCGGGAACCCTCCATGAAAGAAATTAGGAGAGTAAGTACCCGGAGGAGGGCTTTCTCTGCGGTGGCGCCCAACCTATGGAATTCACTCCCCAAAGAGGTCTGCCTGGCACCGTCGTTACTGGTTTTTCGGCGCCAGGTAAAGACCTTTCTATTTAAACATCATTTCAATTGTTAAAACATATGATCTGGCCTGGGCAACTTCTTCTTCCTTCTCTTTCCCCTCCTATATTTTTATTTTATACTGATAATTTTAATTTTGTATTTGTAAATCAATGTATTTTTTGTATTGTTATATTTAATGGTAATTTATTATGTACTATTGTATTTCAATGTATTTTATCATGTTGTAAGCCGCCCCGAGGTTTCGGCAAGGGGCGGCATAGAAATGTTATAATAATAATAATAATAATAATAATAATAATAATAATAATAATAATAATGAAGTACTTAGTACTAGTACTAGCAGTTAGCTGCTATTGGACATGGTAAAACCACTTCAGGACATCAGAAATGTGTAAGCTAGCTCTGCTTTGAAGGTGACAACCACCAATCACAGATGAGCTGTTTGTTCTTAATATGACAGTAAACTTTGGCTCATGCAACTGAACACCCTTCCATCCACCAAATTTGCTCCATAAAGTAACTAAGCTTTGTCCAACAGCTAGAGCACTCACTAGGAATTTTTCTCTACCTAGGTGCTCAGGTGCTTTCGTGTCAACTCCCCAGCTCACCTCAGTACTCCAGAGATCAACCAGAAATGTGACAGAACCTTCAGCTGGAAAACTCTCAAGTGTCCTTGGAAAACCATAATGGATTCAGATGGCTATGTGAGGGGACCTGATTTTCCCTGTGGAGGAGGGCAGGACATGTTCCAATGGAAGAAAGCTCAGGAAACCAAGGTTCAATTTGGATGCCAGGAAGTACTTGCTGGGAATCAGGACCCCTAGGGTATCAAATGAGCTTCCATGGGAGGCGGTTGAAGCCCCATCGGTGAGGGTGTTCAAGGATAGGCCGGACATGCAAACGGTAGGCATGTCATGTGTAGAGCCGGCTGGAGCTGGCGGTCAGACTAGATGTCCCAGGAGGACCCTTCTGACTTGCTTTGTTTCTATGTTTCTAGAGGTGAACCATTTTAATATGTTCCCCATCCTTGCAGGGAAGAGTTGCTGTTTCTCTGAATCTCAACAGGCAGTGAACTGACCATAAGGAGGCAATTAATTCAAAAGTCTCCCACTTTCAGAGCATTATCCCATGTCCAGTTGAAAAAAACAAATCCAGAGTTTTATTAGGTACATGCTTTGGACCAATTATAGGTTAACAATCCCCATGCTTTTTGTGAAGCCCATGAAATCCCAAGCAACTCCAGACAGGGTACCCTCGGCAAGGATGTTAATTTCCCCCCAGACCAATGGCCTGGGGGACTTTAGTATCATAACTGAAATCACCTCTGTCAGTGCAGGTAAGGAGTCTGGTGGGCAGTACAACTATAGAATCTTTAAGACCAGATGCAAACCCCCCAGAAAGCCTGGAGGGACAGATAGCATTCCCAGATCAACGGCCCTTCCTTGAATCTCGGGTCTTCCTTAATGCTGAACTAAGTACTCTGGTAAGCCTATTAGGGAAGGTCTCTTAATTTTCTCATAGAAAATATATGAGTCTGTCAATAGTCAATACTTATGGTATTCCCTGTAAGCAGTCAAGATGTTCATGATAATTCCATGATGTCATAATAGCAAAGCCTACAGTGTGTGTGTTACAGACTGGAGGCATATCGTGAGCCGAGGTACCACTGCACTTATTCTCTATACTATATCTAAGTGCCTATTCTCTCCACTGTACATGTTTTCAATAAATACTGTGTTACATTCATGTTATTTTTGCTTTTTATATTGATTTGGACATGCTATGGTTAACTGAGCCATGAAGAGGGAAGGGAGGGAGAGAGAGAGAGAATGACTCTCTCTTTATTAGTCACCCCAAAGTTGGGCAACTTGGTTACACAGTAACTAATTGTAATTTTAAAAAACCTCCTGAACTGGTCACTTTTTAGACTTTATTTAAGAACAAAACTTCTTTCAAACGACAGTATTGTTCTGCCACACATCCATCCAGTTTCCCATCCAGTTTCAACAATTAAATACACTGTAGCAGTATTTTTATTTCAGGCATGCGATTTTGCCAAAAATAGTTGCAATAATGAGATGATACCTACCATTGGAGACTTATAGTATCTATGCAATATATTAATGAAATCTGTAATAGTTAACATTCCTGCAATGAGATAAAGGGAAAATGTTTTACATTTGAGCTTTTGATCACATCTTATTTTCACCCTGCTACCAACAAGTTTTAATTGCTTAAATGCTTTCTCCCTAATGTAAATTGACAGAATAGCCTTCCCAACTGTGTACACTTCAGATGTCTTGGGCATCTATGGTTTGTTCCCATAGTGCCAGGTTATGGTTGTCATTACATTGGAATAGCATTGAAAGCTACAATGAGAGGCCATATAGCTCAGTGATAGCACATTTACTTTTTTAAAATTTCATGCCTTTACATAGGAGAGAAACAAGTTATATGTCCAGACATGCATTTTATTACTAGTTTATTGGTATATATAAAGAAAATCTCATTAATCAGAAATATCTTGCAGAGATCTGGAGGCCCCTCTGCGAAAGAAAGATTGGAAACCACTAATTGCATAGTCTCATAAAGTCCAGTCATATATGACTGCAGTGTATTACACCATGTCTTAAAAATGTTTTGTGTAATTATCATAAAAGCAAGGTCTAGAATGATATTCCAGGAGAGAAAAAAGAAGCTGGATTTTAAAAATACTGCTAATGCACTTTGCCTGTAAATGAAACTGCTTGGCTTGTGATAGTTGCTACTTATCTTCAGCAAAACTGAAAATAATTCCCAAGCACCCAAAATATTGATGTTCAAACTTAGGAATCACTTTTCACTTTTTTGCAGAACTGGGTCTTAAATAATGAAGCTGGCTCCCTAGAATTGGATCCACAAAGTACCCAGAGTCCCAAACTTTGAAAATGTCCACTGTTGCTGTTAGTTGCGAAGTCATGTCCGACCCATCTTGACCCCATGGACAACATTCCTCCAGGCCTTCCTGTCCTCCACCATCCCCCAGAGTCTACTTGTCCATATCAAACCTCAAATATATAACACCTCTTGTTCTGCCATCAAGCACATTTTTAATTTTATCTTTTCAATCCATCCTGTGATTTGAGGTCTACTCTAAGTGTAATGGGCAAGTATGGATTCCCACAATGTGAATGGGCTATACCTTCAATTAATTACACACTCACCCTGCCCTAGGAAAAAATTAGGAAGCTTCTTGTAAAGAAATCACAACTCCCAGTGATCTGAGCATGGAAAACTGTGGCTTCTTTAAACTCAAGTTAAACTAAAATAAACTAGAATCTGAAATCACAATGTGTGTTGTCAACAATTACAAACAGTTATTGAACACAACAGCTCACCTGAATTCAGACATCACTGGGAAATGAAGTTTGTTTCAAGTCAGCAGCTCCCAATGGCTTCTTCATTGGTATGAGAAAAGAAGATGAAGCAGTCCTTGGAAAAGTATTCACCTCCTCCCCTTGACTTTTCCACATGTTGTTGTATTATAACCTGATATTGCACCAGATTTAATTGGCATTGCTACCCCTTGATGTACACAAGATACTCAATACACTGAAGGTGCAAAATATTCTTATTGCAGCACAAATGTGTTATGTAACCTGTGTACACTAAAAGTAAACAAACAATGCCAGTTAAATTCATTTCATTCCCTGGTTTAACAGAACAAAACATGGAACATTCAAAGGGTGGAGGTGGTATGAATACCTCTGCAAGACAGTACAAGAGGCTCAGACAGACAGGGGCTCATTTGGGTTTGCTCATATAATCAGAAAACTCCATTTCCCATTGCATCTGAACCAGACCGAAGCCTTATTTGAGAAAAACCTTGAGAAAACAGGTAACTGTAGGGAAGCAGCAAAAATCACCATTTCACTATATCATGAAGTTATAGCTCTACTCCAAAATTTTGTACTAATAAACATTATCCTACCTACAAAGCTTTGTTTTTTACTCTCCCACAGTGGAGCTGCTCGGACACCATTTGCCACCAAGGCAAAGAAAGCCTTCTTTACCTGAAAAAAAAATAATAATGAGGTAATTAAAAGGAGATACCTGATCAATCCTCTTACTTTTTGAAGACATGCTAGACAGTTGCAACAACTGCAAGAGAAGAATATGCTTGCTAAAATTCTTCCCTCAGTTAATATAAAAATGCAGTTAAAGCCTGAAAAAGGTAAAAGGACAAACTGAAATATTAGGAAATTTGCCATTGCACTGCTTCAATGCCCCCCACCAAACCACCACCACCACCCTAGGCATATAAAGGACGTAGAGGGAGCTGAGAAGCACCTATTTTAAAATGCCAAGATAAATGCAGTAATCAAAATAAAGCAGCAAAAGGGGAGAACACAACAGTTGGAATACTGCAAGACACACACATGTGGGCCTGGAACTGGACAAATTAATGGAGAAGAAGACTACTAATGGCTACTATTCCTGAAGAGCAGGTAGTTGTTGTGGCACTCATCCCTGCTTATGGGTTCTTGTGGGCAGCTGGTGAGCATTGTATACATGCAATGCTGAACTAGATTCAACATGGCAATTATTATGACCAGCAGGGCAGTGATCGGTAGCATTAAACATCTTTTCAAAGTTTGCATTGAAGGAAAAAATGGACAAAGACCATCTGGCTGAAGGTCAGTATAATAAATCCCACAAGCACGAACATTAAAATCATGCCCCGTGACTCCCTGCAGTGCTACAAAAAAGGCTCAAACTCAAAAGGCTTACAAGAGTCTTTATACCACCAACCGCTCTATTAACTGTAGCCAACTGCAGCATGTAATATAACCTGCTAGACAAATCTTAGCAGAACATAATCAGGACTGGGTATAATAATACAAAATACATGCACAAACACACACACACACCCCCATCAATTACTACCTCAGGGTCAGTGGGCCTGTTGACAGGACAAAGTGATAATCTCACACACACACATGCGCGTTTTGAAGAACTAGATTCTAGGAATCTGTACCTTTTAGTGCTGTTGTTGTTATATGCTGTCAAGACATTTCTGACTTACAGTGACTCTATGAATGAATGCCCCCCAAAATATCTTGTCCTTGACAGCCCTTCTCAGTAAATGTAAACCCAAGGATGTGGCTTCCTCTATTGAATGAATCCATCCCATATTTTGTCTTTCTCTTCTTTTACACCACTGTTTTTCTGTCAGCTTCCTATACTACTGCAGACCACAGACAGAATAGTTCAGCAGTATGTGTCAATACAGTTTTACTTATACGTTAAATACATTAGATTTTAATTAAGAGAAATATGTCTAGTTATTATATTCAAGTACATTTCTATGTATACCACACTCTGAGAAACATTTCGGATATAAAAAGTCGATTTTCTCTCAATGTTCTAAGAATGTATTTTAAATATACATCTGACCATTGTCATTTATAACGATACCCTGTCAAATATGCCCCAACCTTGAGCCTAAGGAAAACTGAGTTTTAAATGTGTCTACCCATGTATCCTTCCTTCCAAAAATGTTAAGATACTTTAACAGAGCTTAAAATACTACAATTCCAAACCAAATTAACTCTGACCCATACTTTTCATTTTTACGTCATCACACGATATGAGTTTTTATCATTTCTTGAGTACTTTCTCAGGTATCAAAAACCCAACTTAAACCTTCCTTTTTTGGTACAAGCTTAATTTTACCTTTGATAACTGAGATTGTAATGCTGAATACAATTACTAGGGACTAAGTTCCACATCAGTCAAATGAGATTTATTATCTGAATAAGCATACTAAGGATGGCATGATGAATCAAATCTAACAGAACCAGGAAAAAAGGGAAGCAACTCCTTTTAGGATCCATGATTTCAAAGAAAGAACAAGGGTTAAAAAAACTGCCATACAGAAAAGACTACCATAGTGATCTGTGGACATATATGAGTGATTTCAAAATATCACTGGTCTTCATTAGTTAGTTTTTACACAGCATTCAACTATTCTGAAGCTGAACACACAAAATCCCCCTCAAACCCAGCTGCCATATTTTTGATTCTTGCCCTTCATTTGGTCTTAGTAATAAGCTAAACTTAGTGTGAAATCATTTACCCGAACATTCCACCAATTCCAGGGACAAAGCAGCTAGATGTCTGAGTTACAAGAATTTTGTTCACTTCAAATAGATAATGCCGTGATCACATAATTACCATGTAACACACAAATAACATTGTCTAGCAAATAAGAACAGACTGACCCACATAGTGTACTTCTTTAATATACAGTACTTAGTAATTTTTTCATGTCCCTTGTAACTAATTAAGCGTATCAATTTTAATTCCCATCTTTTAAAGCTCTTGTATGTGTTTAGGAACTTTGGCTTCATTTTTTTCCTATAGATTACACATTATTATAAATGACATCAGCATCAACTGATTAAGGCTATGATCCTATGCACGTTTATCTATGAATAAGATCTAATGAACTCAGTGGCACTTACTTTGAAGTAAACAGTTAATAGGATTAACCTATTACTATAACAGAAGAGTAGCAGAGATACTATAGCCAAGCAGCTGAACTCTTATTATCCACAGCATGGAGATTCAACTTCAGAACTCCAGCATTTCCAAAATAGGAGAAAGATCCAATCTAACGGCTTCAGTGCACTGCATCATTATGAAACAGACATTCCTACCCTCCCTTGTCTTCCCACACAGGTTTCACAAGGAGTTTTATAATTCTAGCTGGAGACAGGACAAAGACATTTCTAACTGTCTCCTCCTATCCAAAACCAGTCCATTATCAATCTTCTTGTGATCTGCAGCAGACTTTTAAAGAGCAAGTTCCTAAACATAAAACTGGCCAATATTAACTTTTGTTCTTCGTTTTTTTTAAACCTATAACTAACAAGTATCTTGTAACAGACATTTCTCCTCCTGGAATAGCTACTGGCTTAATATTTTTGGGGCATTATTATTATTGCTAAGAGCTTTGTAGTGTAAATTTATTTTGGTAAGGAATGAGCATGCATGACTCAAGATCACAATCTGAAGAAGATGGCAACAGGTATATTTAACTGCAGATTATTTTGCTTTTCATCAGGGTATTCTTTTATTGTGTTCCTCTTTGGGGATCATACGTTATGTTACCACATAGCTCTGTAACAGAAGGGATGGTTTGTATGAAGAAATTTCTAAGTGCAATCTCTGGATCAGAGAGTTGGTACTACCTCTTGTAGAGACCCTGAGAATTCACTGTTAAGAGTCAACAGTTTGGTCTGACTGACAAACAGAGCCTGATCGAGCATAAGGTAGCTTCCTACGTTTCACCACTTTGTTCCACTCATTAAATCTAGAGCTCTGAGCCTATGCTGCTCCCCAGTGGTGGCATAGCCTTGTGAGATTCCCTTCAGGTGGAGTTATACAATGCAGGTTGCTCCCTGGTCTCTGCAGTTCTTCCAGTGGTCATCTGTACATTCATACAAATGGACTCTGGGCTTTTATGGAGCTTCTTTCAGGAAAGTTCTATACAGAGGAATTACGGACAGGAACCCTTCCCCACCATCTCAGCACTCATGCTCTTAGCGAGTTCCTGACTATTCCCTTAGTTTAATTTATTAATTATTAATTTATTTATATCCTGCCTTTTTCCTACAAAGGGCTCAAGGCAGCTTACATCTCTTCCTCCATCTTATCCCCACAACAACAACCCTGTGAGGTAGGTTGGGCTGAGAGTCTATGAGTGTGGCCTCAAGACCAACAGAAAAGAACACAAATAATTTCAATATCCACTCCATATATGATTTGTCCAATGATTTGTAATGATTTCTAATGTGCCTTAACCAACTTCAGTATGGACAGAAACATAGGAATGGGAAATAACAGATGACTACTCAAAGAGCCATAGTGGCAGATGAGTAGCCTGCGTTTCTTCCTCATGATCTCTGTATAGCAAATATATGGTAAAACATCAGGATGGCTTACTGCAAGACAGGTCCATGTTGTCACTACAGTATCAAAGAGAGGACCACATGGCCAAAGGAGCAATCACCTCTTCTGACCATGTCGCAGATCAACAGACATCTAACAGTAGCACGCTCCTCCCAACTCCTCTCATCAATGTACTCTTGGATGATTCAAGAGCTGGAGTCCAGCCAATCTGAATGCTAACATTACAGCATGAACAACCCAGCCAGATGGTTTTTGAGAAGATACAGGATGTCCATTCCATTGGCCCTCTAACAAACCAAAAATTGAGGCATTTCCCAAAGTGATTCTGTTCTTGATAAGGGTCTTCAGATACAAAGGGCATATAGTGTGTTCCTCACTGTCAGTACCCATGAAGGAAAAAGGATAGGTGAGAGGATTTCCTGGTTCAAATGGAAATCTGACACAGCCTACATGTTGCTATCCATGTGGAATAATGATACTCCAGTAATGCACACAATTCACTGGATCTGTGGGGTCCTCTGGGCTGAAGTAACTATTAGGAATGCCACTTTCCAAGAGAAAAAGGTGAAAAACTGCTATGGTCAGAGGTTCAAGAAATTGTAGTATTAATGCCTGGAGAACCATGGATAAAGTCTAATGTGAACAGGAATCCAAACTGGAGAGGCAGTATTTTAAGCCCCTTTGGAAAACCATGAATGTCAAGGGTGCAAGAATACTGAGAAACACTCAATGGCTGTATAAAAAGCTGAGAGCCCCATGTTGTATAGAAGGTCCCACACTGGTGATATCACACAGAGTGACTGGGAGCCAGTCATCCAAATATAGCTAGACCTAGATCCCTTCAAGGCAGGAATAAGCACAGAAAATACACATTTTATGAACATCCTGAGCTCCATTGCCAGTAGAACAGAAGCAAGACTCAAGTAAGAGGTCTCCACAGAATCAAGTTCCTATAGGCCTTCAACCTCATAACTAATGCCTGCTGAATGTTCTGGAACATTCCAGACAACGTTGTATCAACCCTTCAATGGTGGACAATTCTTTCCAACTTCAGGAGAGTACTGCATTTATCCAGCCACCTCCAATGGCCCAGTGTGGAAATTTTGCTATTCAAGGCATTTGGTCTACAAAAATTGCCTCCTCTCAATTCATTCTTTTGGAAATGAATTGATAGGAGACATTGTTTGTAGACCAAAATGGCAGTATGGAAAGTTCTGCAAGCTTAGCCTCCACAGAAATCATGTTCATATCATGAGTAGTATGTCACTTGAATAAGCAGGGAGCAGTAAGATTGATGGAAGATATCTCCCCTAGCAAACAGAAAACTCAAAGCTGTTAAGTGGGATTGGAACACTTAAAACTGATAAGTGACAGCAAAGAGAAGGTAACACTGAGTGTTAGGAAAGGGCTTTCTCGGCACTCCAATTATGGAACCAGTTCTGCAGGGATGTGTGCCTGGTATATTTTGGTGCCAGGTTAAAACCTTTTAATTTTCCCAGTATATTGTTAAATAATACTATAATGTTATGTATAATGATTATGTTATTGGATTTTATACTGGTTTTATTTCTATGCCATTGGCATTTTGTGATTTGGTTTTATTCTTGTATTATTACTATTTACTGTTATCTGATTGATGTTGTGCTCTGCTGAAGGTAACTACCTTGTGATATACTATATATTATGTTTTTCAGGTTTTTAAAAAATTGTTCACTGCTCTAAGAGTTGTTGCTAATTGAATGATCTATAAAAGCCTTAAATAAACAAACAAATAAATAACCCTTCATGATTTTGTTGCATGTGGTAGTAGGTTATCCACTGACTAATGGTACAAATTGTATGTACATCTACTCTGCCCTAAGTCCCATTGTGCTCAAGGAAACCTAGTCTCAGGTTGGCTACTTAAGAATGTCACTGCACTATCAGAAAAACATGAAATGAATCCACCTATACAGCTAATCAATTACCTAAAATGGGAGAATCAGAGTCTTAGTATCAGATTTTAATGCCATGAGGGTAAAAATTTTACATAGAAAGACTACTTTTTTCCTTCAGGCTACCTTTCCCTGGCATGGTACAATTCAGATGTCACAGATTACTAGTCCTGTCATCCACAACCAACATGGGCAGTGGTTTTGAATAACAGTTGTGTTCCTCTCAAGATAGTTTGGACTGCATAATCTATCTGGTCAATAATATACGTTTGTTCTTTTCAGAGACTAAGCTTTGAGGTTGTTGTGTTTAACTCTTAGATTGATAAAGAAATGCATTTTATGCAAAAATCTATTGAGGCAGACTAGTGGTTGTTTTTATTTGCTATTACGTTCAAGAAGATAATGTCACTATACGGTAGAATAATGTTTCTAGAAAAATGCATCATCTTGTTTAAACTGAAAAGATGCTTTTCAAGTTAATTCATTAAGCAAGGGATGAATTTTGAGTCAACCAGAAATGTTAGTTTATGGTCAATGTAGTTAATTTAAAATATATAATTTGTAAGAAGCACAGAAGTCTCTTGGAAAAATAACTCTTCAAATCAAATATAATCTGTTGTTGACATTTGATAGCTGTTTCTAGACTGCTCCTTTTTAAAATATTAAAAAAGCCTCTGCAAGTATTAAAAGCCTGAAGTTACATGCAATGTTGGGCTCTGAAATTAAGGCCATCTGTTTCTTAGAAGACAATCAAATCACATATAGCTCTTAGATTACTATAAAGGCAAGGGATCCTGAAAAAGGAAAACTCACCTGTAGTGTAGTGTCAAAAACTACAAGCTTTGAGCTTGTTGGAACAATATCATAACATTTATGTGACCTCATGAATCGCATGTAGATGTCACTTTCTGATTCACCAACAGCTGCAAGAAAACATTGGAAAGATTTTGTAAGAAAATGCTCAATGCATTTGACTGCTATTCCAAGTGCAAAGTGGAATTTTCAACATTTGAATCTTCCTCTAAATTTTCCTACCCCTAACCCTTTTCTAACTGAAAATAACAGTTCTAATACTACTTCTTATATTCATGACTCTCAGGCAAGGTACATACTTGAGTGAAAAAAATTGTAACAAGAGGGTGATCTGACACAGTGGAGACATGCACACAGGAATACAACAGAAAAAATTAGTATCTGTGCTTGTTTTTTTGCCAGTTGTGTTTTAGGTCACAACATTACTACTGAACAATTTAAGGCTTTTATTGATCACCTTTCTAACAGTGACCCAAAATGGTCTATTGTACAATGAATCAGAAGGAACATGAACATGACAAATGGAAACAAAACAAACACAACCCTCCCCCAACTTAAGATTATTACAATTACAGTGGTACCTTGGCTCACGAACGCCTTGATTCATGACCAAATTGGGTCACAAACAAAAATTTCATGAAAATTTTGACTTGGGTCACGAACTCCACTTTGGGCGGTGACCAAGATCGCAGCCATCTCCCCCGCCCCCCCACTGAGTGGGGAGATGGCCAGGATAGCAGTTGCGTTCGTGCAGGGAAGACGTGCGTGATCACAGGCACGCTCCTGCAGGAAAGACGGGCGCAATCTCGGCCATCTCCCCCCACCAGCCAGCATGATCGCGGCCATCTCCCCCCCCCCAAGTGGGGAGATGACCACAACCACAGTCATGTTTGTGCAGGGAACACATGCATGATCACAGCTGTGCTGTGCCCGTCTTTCCTGCAGGAGCGCATCCATGCCAGGATTTCTTTGAGAAGCACCACCCCAACATAACTGTAACGAAGAGAGTGTTGAATCTGATGAACAATAACGTGGTCTCACATTTCTGGAGGGTTATGCAGCACAGGAAAAAACAAGTGGCTATAGACAGATTTTTCACCAAAATTGACCCTACAACTAAGAGACAAAGAAGAGAGGAAACCCCTGAAAGAGATCTCCTCATGTCCTTATGGAGGGGAACTCTCCATCAAAACAATAACCTCCCCCGCAACCTAGGTTAGTGTTCTCCACTGTACTGTACAGTACTTTATTTCAAAATGTCTGATTTAAAAAATAGTTACAGAACGGATTAACGTTATTTACATTGAACCTTAGGGGGAAAATTGACTTGGGTCACAACCAATTTGGGTCACAACCAGAGTTGTGGAACAGATTAAGTTCATGAGCCAAGGTACCACTGTATACTTAACTAGATCCTTAACAAGGATTTATACTTAACTAGATCCTTATCCCTCTCTGATAGGATGAATTTGTTTTGGACTATCTTGAACTTTAGATCACTGCAGTCGGTTAAATTAAAAGATGCTTGCTCCTTGGGAGGAAAGCTATGGCAAATCTAGACAGCATACTAAAAAGCAGAGACATCACCCTGCCAACAAAAGTGCGTATAGTCAAGGCTATGGTTTTCCCAGTTGCAATGTATGGCTGTGAAAGTTGGACCATAAGGAAGGCTGAGCACTGAAGAATTGAGGTCTTTGAATTGTGGTGCTGGAGAAGATTCCTAAGAGTCCCTTGGACTGCGGAGAGATCAAACCAGTCAATCTTAAAGGAAATCAGCCCTGGCTGCTCTTTAGAAGGCCAGATACTGAAGATGAAACTCGAAATACTTTGGCCACCTAATGAGAAGGAAGGACTCCCTGGAGAAGACCCTGATGCTGGGAACGATTGACAGCAAAAGGAGAAGGGAATGGCAGAGAATGAGGTGGCTAGATGGAGTCACTGAGGCAGTGGGTGTGAGCCTGGGCGACTCTGAGGGATTGTGCAGGACAGGAGAGCCTGGAGGAATGTTGTCCATGGGGTCATGTTGGGTCGGGCATGACCTTGCAACTAACAACAAATCTTGAACTTTGACATTCTTTGGGCACTGCACCTAACTAAAGGGAAAAAAATAACAAATCTTTCAAATTGCTGAGCAGCAAATGTATGGCTTGTTTTCCATTCAGTCACCATTCAAAGCTAAGTACATAACCTTGTTAAAAAGTGAATTAAGGAAAGATTCATAGCTAACAGTTCCTTAAGGCTTACCCTACCCCCAATGGGACTGAAAAACTCATACCCTTACATCACCCTCCCTAGACTAAAGCAGTTTTCATCAACTAATTTTAATTTAGCCTTCTGCATTCCATGTCTGATCTACAGTGTCTATTTCTTGTCCAGATGTTCAACAAGTGTCCAGGTAATGCCTATCCACTAAGTAAAGCAAAACTGGTCAGCTTATAATTCACCTGATAGTCATTTAGAACAACACCCACTTTGCTGAATCATGGCCTCAGTTCAGCTGACTTCTTTCTGCATTCAGCATCTAATATTCAGAGGTTTACTGCTCATCAGCATGGTGCATCCATGTAGCTATTATGGCTAACAGCTGCTGACAAACCTCTTCTCCATGAGGCACCTATAAGCAAAGCACTAACAATCAATGTAGGGGATTCATATGCATCTATTTAAAGATTGTCCCACTGATGTGGCCAATTGATCTAAATGTATCCAAATTTCATGACTCAGAGTGACAGTATTGCTGCTTAAGCACTTTTCCCTCATGATCAAGGTATGCCAAGCTACATTTTAGCCTATGTATAATATTGCTAGTAATCTGATTATCAGCAAAAAAGGATGACATCTGAAAGGCGTTTGGAAGTAGAGCAGTTATAACCCCGCTGCTACATTTCAAAAGGTGCTGGAGCACAACTCACATCAGGAGGTGCAATGAGAAGCACACAACTTTTCCAAAAACCAAGTGGAAGATTTGCAGAATGAGGGGGGCATATCTTTGCTGCTTGTCATCAATTTTAAAATGATTGTTAAATGAGTATATGTTTATTAGAATTGTACAACAATGCTTGAAAGACATAATGAAAAGCAAAAACTTTTTAGAAAATTCAGAGTGATGCGAACATATATTAGGTGGCTGATAAAGAGTTCAATGCTCATTACAACTGGTGCCTTGTTATATGCATTTAAAATACACTCCACATAGCTATCTCAGTAGCAACAAGCATGCTATTATGGAGGTAGGAGAGAATCCAGTTGCAGTTTGGATTAAAAAAATATTTTAAAATATTAAAGAAAATAAAAATATTGTGCTTTGTTCTACAACAAAAAAATAAGAGCTAGCTCTGTTATTTAAAAAAATGAGCAAGGAGGACATATGAATAAATGTATATTTATTATCAAATATACTCATAAGAGACTTTCTGTCCAAGCTCTGCTGTTAAAAGCTGTAGGACTGAACATTCCTCAGTATAAATTCGTCTACTTTATGCTATAATGAATTATTTGTGAAATAGTTCTTTTATTTGACAAATTAGTTTAAATTTGTAAAATGTAATAGTTTAGAGATATTTCAGATTTATTTAATATAACAATTTAGAATCAAGTATTGTTAATTCTGTATTTTTCTTTATAGCTTGGTATATGAATTAACAATTAAAATGATTACTATTCAATAATTTAAAAGATATAAAAGCTGGGGACTCTCTATACCTACATGATTCTGGATGAATTAGAATTTTGTTCTGTTTGTTTCACAATAAGGATCTATCAAATTCATAAATATCTTCATATTGCGAAAACCTTAGAGTAAAAGAAATTGACATGGGGAGAAGCAGCACTAACAGATTCCTCCACCCAAGTGGTTTTTGGGTGATTAGCTCTTAAAAGTCTGGCTTTAAACCCCTGTGTATTCAAGCATATCAATGGTGCTGGATTAGGGTTGATACCTCTTTTTTCCTTTTTATCACAGGCAAGTATAACATGATCCACTCCATGCTGGGAATATCTGTACCTATTGAATGAGCTGGTGCAGGCCATTAAGATTGTTGCTTGGCTTGGTTTTTGAGAAATACTTACAAAAATTCATCAATTTCCTTGTAAGTGTGATGGAAGAAACTTGAGATTAAGGGAAACAATAAATGTGGGAGAAATCAAAACGGTCAGATTAATCAATTCCTATTATTTGAATTATGTATTTTAAGCATTTTAATCCTACTCTGCAGCCAAAAAGTCTCCTAGATTGGCTTACATATAAACCTTTAAGCAAGATGGTCAAAGGCGCAATATGCAAGAAAAAGGAAAGGGGAGAGAAGGGTGATGGACTCTTTCAACAGGGCTGATGGAATGGCCCTGCTTCCCATTCACCTCTTCCTCAGTACAGCTTGATGTAATGGCTGCTGCTGGCAACAGTTCATGATCTTAAAGACCTTTTCCTTGCTATTTTCAACAGACTAACCAAAATTATTGTGAATGAGTATCAATTTATTTTGTAAAAACACTTGCTAGTCTGTGAAAAAGCACTCCAAGGCAGAACTACAACCTCCAATGCCTAAAACAAGCCTCAGTTTGTGACATACTGAGCCTGCCCAAGTGAAGAAGCAAGCTGATTAGGACTTTCCCTAATGAAATAAAAGACTAGACAGCTAGGAGTATCCACTCCAGTTTGCAGCATAGAGGTAGACATATCACTGGAACATGGGGAGAGAAGCAGGAGCCATTAAATTCTATAGAAGAAATAATGAGACACAACTTCATCCTAAAAAGGTGGCAGCTTGTCAAAATTAGCAGCCATGCCACTTGTAAAGGAGAGAGCTGGTTATAAGAAATGGAAACATATCTTCCACTCACAATCCAGTGTCAAGAGGGGATGGCAGGGCTGGGAGAAATCTATGCTCTGGCAATCTCTACATTACGTTACTGCTACGTACTCTTTATGAGACTGCCTTGGAGACTGTTCAGAAGCTGTAACTTGTGCAAAATGCAGCAGCAAGACTAATAACTGGGACCTGTCGGTCTGAATATATAAGAATACTTCTAGCCTGCTTGCATTGGCTAGAAGTATGCTAGCACCTATATGCTACTGACTGCCATTCACACGCATGACACTGAGCTAAATACA